CGTCCGCCGGCCTCGAGCGCCACCCGCTGGCGGCGCGGGGGATGGCGGCGCGGAGCGGGGTCGGCGCGGGGTGACGGCCCCCGACGGCGACGCGGAACGGGAGCGGAGGCAGAGGGGCTCGGGCGGGCGGCGGGGCAGCCCAGGGGCCGCGAGGGGAGCGCCTCGCCGCCTCCGCGGGGTGATGCTCGTGCGAGGCGGGCCGCGATCGCCGCGTGCTCAGTCCCCGGCGCTGGCGGCGGTCACGTCCCTCGCACGATCCGCGTTACGATATGTGTTTTTTTGTACCGTTTTCCCGCGGCGGAGGTTTCGAGAGGCGAGCGGGTCCCGCCGCTCCGCAGCGGCAGGTAGCTCTGCGGGATGAGAGCTGTGCGGCGCTTCCCTAGCTAGCGGGCGGATCGCAGGCGGTCGGTGTCGGTGCTACTTTTCTGCCTCCCAGCAAAAAAAAAAAAAAATACCATAAATCCGTTGGTGGCCATTTTGCAGTAGGATTTTGGAATCTGGCTTGTGAAATGTTGAGAGCGGTAGCCCAAATTGCACTGCCTCCCGAACAAAAGAGCCTCGGTGCGCACACAAGTGGGTTTGTTCACAGCCTCACAACACACTCACACGCAAACAATACAACATATAGAGATAGAACGTACATATCAACCGCTGCAATTCTGTTCCTTACACAGAACCCGAAATGGAACCATGCTATCGCAGCTGTATCTCTTTAAAATATCTTTTTTTTCCCTTTTTTCCCCCCCCCCTTTTTTTTTTTTTTTCCTAGTGCTAGGAAATGTGGATGTAAATTAAGGTACCACAACGCGGGGAAAAATATCCCCGAGATAATATGATCGACTCTTTCCTTTTAGTTCAAAAGATGGTAAGGGAAAACAAAATAAAATAAAAAAGAAAGAAAGATGGACCCAAACCCTCGAATCCCCAAGAAATGAAGTCCATAATTCAGTGCAGAGCTGAGCTCACTGAAATCTCAGTGCGAGCTCAACGGGAACCACAGAAATTCGCCCTTCAAAGCCTCTCCTCTCTCTCGTCCTAAAGTTTGTCACCGAGCTCTTACTCGGTATCAGTAGTGCAGATTGGGGTCAGTTTAGTGGCATTTAGAAGTGTCCCTGCAATTCATTTTCGCATTATCTGCAAGCTTATACCCAAGTTTTTATACAACGATTTTTTTACAATGATTTTTTTCTGCTTTTTTTTCTGCTTTTTTTTCTACTTAAATATCCTACAGTCGTGTAAAACTTTCTTTTCCCTCCCCTACGGACCATAAAATCCTGAACACATCGTATCGAGGCGGCCCGATGTAGCGGGAGCTGGTAAAAAGATAAACCCGAGATTTTCTACCATCTCTCATATTTCTACAGCATGAATGTTCACAATCACACACACACGATAATAATAACAGTCCCCCATGGGTCGGTTCTCACACAGGCACTCCAAGGACACTCTCGCGCACGCAGATAAATACCCAAATATTTTACAATCTGGGCCAGGTCTCTGAATGTTTTAAGCAACGCCATCTACTCGTGGCAGAAGCGGTTCTTATCTATGTACACGGCCGTAGCTCGAAAGCTCAGACTTGTGCATGTCTTAGAGCAAGTCCCGGCTGATCGCAGATGTACATCAGCCTGTGGGGATTAATAGGCTGTGACAAACCTATGCGATTTTAGTAGCAGAAGGAGCACAAGGTAAATAACAATATAACAGCGAGCGCTAAGGACGGGCCTGGTAGCATTTATTAAACACGGTTCTACTCCCCTGACTTTTCCTCTGTTTCGTCGCTGCCGGGCTGTGTGGAATTTATGAATTTGTTTTCCTTTTTCCATTTCATCCGCCTGTTTTGAAACCATATTTTAATCTGGCGCTCGGTAAGGCAGAGAGCGTTCGCAATCTCAATGCGTCGTCTTCGGGTTAAGTATCTGTTAAAATGGAACTCCTTCTCTAACTCTAGCGTTTGGTAGCGGGTGTAAGTCTGCCTCCCTCGTCTCCCATGAGCTCCATATACTGTACCTGCAGAAGTAAAGACAAAACGAGCGTGTTGGACAGGGCCCAGTGCTTTCAGACCACAAAGCCGTGCCGCTTTTCGCGGGGGGGGGGGGGGTGGGGGGGGGGGGGGGGGGGTGGGAGAGGAGGGGGCCGCGGGGGCTTTTTTGTCCCCCTTTCTTCCTGCCTGAACGGCTGAGGGTGCGGACGTGCTCATGGGGTGGCCGTGATACAAAGGGGCCGTAAGGTGGGGGCGGGAGGGGGGGAGAACTGTAGGTAGCACCCTACTCGGGTGCGGGGAGGCTGCGTGCACACACACACATACACACACACACGTGTGCGGGCAGGGCTGTGCGTGTGTGCACGTGTGTGTGCGTGTGTGTGCTGACACAAACATGCTCTATTGCTCTATAGCTACAGAGGAGCTGTAATTTAAGCATAATGATAGACATCAGCTAAAGATCATAGAACGGCCTTTGCCATTTGCTCCGGAATTTATTGCCCTCCAATGCAAAGCAGCATCAGAATGGTCCTGCTAAAAGTTTAACTTCCCCCCTCACCCCCCCCCCCCC